TCCTGCTTCGGTGACAAGTTTTATTTCATCCGGACAGCGTTCAGGGCTCGATTTGCGAGCAGATACAAAAACCCTGCATTTATATAGCGTCGAGGATACTCCGCCACTGAGACGATGCCATCTGCCATTAAATCCGTCGTTGAACGGATAAGGGCTGAACAAAATATTCCAATACTAAAGCGGGCCACCAGCTCCTGACGGCCAGAACATGCAGGAGCATACGCCAGGGAAAAAATTGATATGAAATGTACTTAGCACTGCAGATGATCAAAACCCATGAAACCATGGTTTGTTTAAACGATCCTTAGGCAATAAAGATCAGAGATGATGCAATGCACAGTAAAATCTGCTCTAGGAGGAGTTATGCACAAATTAACATATAATGTACAATTCTTTCAAGGCCATATATAGTCTTCATTTGTGACAAACAGACACACCAATTATCATAATGTGTTTCAGAATTCATGAATGGGAAAACATCGCCCGAATTCACTTACAATCATTACAACAAATATATACAGCATACGATAATTAACGCACATACATATCACTGAAGTGAATTGTGGCTGCTTCACAAAAATTAGCCTGCTTGATATCCCTCCGGATTTCAGTAGAGAAGGGCGTGAAATAAAGAGACAGCATCTCCCAAAACTTTTCACGCATGTTTGAATATAGTACTCTCAGGAAAACTTGAAAGTGTGTTAAACATGAATGGCAGACAGTTGAATCACGCAAATGTCAGTCAGCTACAACACGTGCTACAAGAGTTCGATAAAAAAAGCAGAGGTTAGAACAAGAATCTATCGGTTAAAGACGACGATACTGCGACCTGATGGCTCGCCGAAGGTCCAGGTACTATTAAACGACAAAAAGGACTGAAGTCAATAGATATATTTACTTCGGACAAGAGGACAACACGCGGCATGATCAGACTGAAGAGATTCAACGAAAAAAGGGCTGGTTGCCACGTGTGTCATTCCATGAAGAAAGCCCTCCTAGCTAACATCAGGAACGAAATCCTATCCCATCTCTTCAACTCTACCATTCAGCCGGCAACGTTGTATAGCTATGAGACATGACCTCTTACTAAAGTTGAAGACTGCCAGGCATCTATCATCGAGAGAATCATGGAAAGAAAAATTTTGTGAACATATGTCGGCTCACCAACCAGAGATTGTTCGGCGAAGATCGTCAATTCCTACCCTCATGTGCAGAAAAGACCGCTCTGTGGCCTACCATGACGGCGCAAAGACTGTATCATGAGCCAGGAAGGCCGTGCTTTGAGAGAGAAGTAGTGAAACCTGAGGAATAGCGGATATACATACACATAAAGTATAAAATACGTTATTAAGCAACTAGATGAAGTACCAATTTGGTCAGTTCCGAGTCAGAGGAAGATACCGATGCGCCGCAGACGTCGTTCTGCAATGTTGAGGCGACAACGTCATCCGCCTCAAAAGTGGTGGTGAAGACATTGGCTGTCATTTCCTCGCATTTCTCCATCTCGTACTCAAGTAGAGGATACAGGACGTGGTTTCTGATGCGGCGAACCTGGTAATCGAGATCATCGGGCGACGAGGAAGCGGCATCTTCCGACAGCGGCGCGTCGACCTCCTCTTCCTCGGCTGCAGGTGCTGCTGGGGGTGCATCTTCGGCACATTCCTCCGCCTTGACAGACATTCACATAAACCCACAAGCACGATTGTCGACTCGATCGTTATACGGTTTAACAGTGGGAAGAAACGATGTGACAAGAAGTACCTAAAATCAAGTACTTACGCCAAGTGCTAGAAATTGTTAGAACTGAGCTAGGAAATCACTGGCGCCACAGGTCAAACGATGCGAACCAGTGACAGAATAGACTTAAACAAAGCTGAAAGTTTACTGCATGAACTTTCAATAAAATCATCGGATAATCCTGCTTTTCAACAGAAATTAAATAGAACAAACAACTTTGAGAATAAAAATAATAAATAGAACAACCTAGAAAATTTCCATAGTATCGAGCCATTGTACAACTGTTACATTATGGAAAAGAACTAGATTTTTAAGATGTTCATATCTTTATGAATGTTCCTCAGTCATCAGGCTTCAGTCGATAACTGAACGGCCAGTCGAATGTCCGAAACTTGGGGCTTTGTGGAACGATCCAAAACAACAACAGAACACTTCTTTTCAAGTGAAAAAAACTGAATCACTTAACCGAACGAGGGACAAGATTGAACTGGAACGTTCTAGGATTTCACGACACGCTTAGCCACAGTAGCTAAGAATATAAAAAACACCGTACGCGCAAACAAGAAAATTCCTCTTCCCAGGTTAATACTTTAGATATAATATACAAGGGTACTTGAAATGCGAAACGCAAAAGTACAGTTATTTGAAAATAAATTACTGTAGAGCGCTAGGAGATACCTGGCACTCGTAATGTACAGTGATATGCACGAAGACCAAGAAAGACTGCGCAAATTTATGTCTTTGCGCCAGTTTACAACTTGCAACCATTTCGCATTACAATGCGTATAATATGGAGTACAGTACTGTACAGTACGAACTTCCTTAGACGTGCACTTCCGAGGTGCGGTGAAACTAGTCTAGAAACAGGTAACAAATCGCTGACCTGGGAAAATGGGTCGTAAGGAAGTTTTTGGAAACAGGTGCTCCTTTTGTTCAGGAACATCGAAAGGAGCATGTTACAAAGTACCGTTTCCGCGCTAAACGCAGAAAACTGCATTAAGTGTTCTTGAGGCACGGATGTCTCAACGAATACACGACAGAGAATTTGAACACCCGTTCTGCAGCTTAATAAAGCAGACCAATGACAACTCTGCCCTACATACCGCAAGTAATTGAGTAAATCAACAGATGGCTCTACAACATGTGATTTCAGGTCTACTATCCAGTATAACTGGGAATGTTCCTACTTTCGAGGGTTACATCCTGTGCTAATTATTACATTGGATAATCAGCTGTCAGGTGGATCAGACTGAAACGTAGCCATAAGAGGCGCTAACATCAGACAGCATGACCTACACCTCGCCATTCTGGTATGACTACACCAGAATACCACGGTGTCCTTGCTATTCCCAACTCCATGCCTTGCTAACCGTTTTTCGGCTGAGTGCATCGAAGCAACGTGAGGCAAAGCTCAAGAAAATTCACAGTAACGACACAGACTGTACTTTGTAAGGACTGGAATCAGGCACCTGCAAAGTTTGAAGACGACTGTCAACCCCTCCCCCGGTTTATGGATAATCAGTTTATTTTCTAGCAACCAAGAAGCGCTGAAAGATGTTTGCAATAATATCTCATTAGAATGGCGGGGGATACGCGGATACGACACTATTCTGCAAGCCGCATTGGCAGAATGACAGCTTCCATACGTCTAACACTTATTTTTGCAACAACAGTCGGAATTTAGATAGACGGGGTTTCTGCGATCACGAACATCGAACGTGCGATGAATACTGTTGTTTTATTCTGATAAATTGCAGCATTATCACAAATCTGATATTAACATCCGTCAAAAAATCAGAATAATCCGGATCTATCACAAACGTTTCGTGGTTTTACTTGCAATTTGCTTACTTTATCTTTCTGTTTATAAGCCGTCTTTTTGTCGGATTTAGTCAATCTAGTCATATTTATTGCTATTAATTGGTTTATAAATACCAAGTCTTTCTGCGGACAGGAAACATCACAATGCTGATTTATTAGAATAAACGCGAACTGAACATAGCATACAATTTGGACAGCACAACGTCAAAAATTGACCAACTGTTGGTGGAGAGTACAAAGTCGTCAGTCGAATTTTCTTTGGTTACAAGTGTTTCAAAGCCATTTGCCAAGTGGCCTGACAATCTCTAGAAGGTCTGACAGTATTTTGCTGGTCAATTTTCAGAAACTTTCTGTTGTAGATTTTTGACCTTACTGCCGCAAGGAAGCAAAAACAAACAGAAAACGGCATGTACATTTGTCCAAGGAAAGAAAATCTTCTTACGACCACACAAGCGTGGCAAAATACAAAAAAATATAAAAACATTTCAGTAATTAATATCTGAATACTACTGCCAACTGTAAGAACGATCAGAGCAGTCAAGAAGTAACAAATCCGCTGGGAACAGATGGTACTACTAGCGAGGTAGCGAAACACGTACGCAATGAAAGTTTTGGCATAAGCTTTATTTGGCATCATGAACGACGGATGTTCAAGTTCGCTACAATAAAAACAAAACGGCGGAGAGCAGAAAACCTGAAACGCTGCTTGGAATGCTTTCAAAGATGGTAACAGCAGTTTGTCAAATCACCGCACGAAGGCTGAGGATGTTAATAACTAGCAGTACAAGGCATTCAGTCAAGAATAACAAAGGCATGCTTTCCTTACCCATCACCTTTATTATATTTTGTAGATTTTTTACGAGCTGCGCGAGTCTTCCCGTCAAGCCAATGGCCTCGCATAGCCAATGCGGATAAATTTTCTTGTCACTCGTTTCCAAGGCAGAATCGCCTCAATCTTCCAATATCAAGAATTACACGAAGTAGGCTGTGTCAGTCACGCCCCACGCAAACGTATGCGAATTGATTCGCTTCACTACATCGCAAATACCCTGTAACACTTCTTTCAGACCCTGTAACAAACAGATTTCTGAACCCCGGAAATGCGAGGTTCGATTCTGACTCGACAGGCAATCTTTATATTTATTATTCACGAATTACTTAGAGCAAGGAATTTACCACAGACTGCTTTAAGTCAGGATTGCTCAGTCGGTAGGGCGTCAGACTCAGAACCGATAGTCCCAAGTTCAAGCCCCAGTCAGGGGAGGGAGTCACTCATCTTTACTTCCAGATTAATAAATGAGCACCACTTTGAGAAAAGGAGAGTCAACGCCTGTCACATGGCTGTAGACTCTGCCTTCAAAAAATAAGGCACTGCTGGCTAATGGCATAAAAATGTAGATCAGCATCGCATCATCAACTTCAACTCAAAGAAGGGCACCAAAATAACCCAATCACGAAAGTGAAGGAAGACCGACATTCTAACGCTGATTAACCTTTCTTTCCTTCTAAAGTTCTTTACAAATGACAATTGATTGACTGATGGAAGGAATGTCGTAGTCATTCAATG